TTCCTTCCTTCCTTCCTTCCTTCCTTCCTTCCTTCCTTCCTTCCTTCCTTCCTTTCTTTCTTTCTTTCTTTCTTTCTTTCTTTCTTTCTTTCTTTCTTTTCTAGAAGAAAACTGGAGAAAACGTAGCTATTTCGAACGATCGATACTGCGGAGAAGGGAAACGTAGAGATTCCGGTGCATTTGCATCGGAAAGGATAAACGACGGAAGGTGGTCGTCGATCGACCAGCAGATTCTTGGAAAACATGGATCGTATATTTCCAACGAGTTGAGACATACGGGAGAATTTCACGATTCGTTGCCGCTGCCGCTGCCTGTATTGGACATTTCAAAAGATGGAACGTCGTCCGTGGATGGGGCGATACGCGCGTTCGAACGGGCGCACGACGACGACGACGACGACGCCGCCGCGAAACCGTTGCTCTCTCTTAAAACCGACAGCTCGTCGTTCGATTTCAAATCCCCCGAAACACGCGTCTTGTTGGCCTTCGACTCGGCCTTTGGTTTCCCGAAGAGCTTACGATCGATCGGTGATGCTTCGAACTGGTCGAAAACGTCTATCGATCTTTCGTCCTCCATGGAACGCGACTTCGATACGGATAAATCGAACGCCGACAGTTTCGCGGGAGAATGTTCCGATGCCGATATCGACGATATCCGAGAACCACTGGCCCTCGATAAAACGTCCAAGTCTATTCTCATAGAAGAAATTTTAACCGACGACGAGGAAGAGAAGGAACGCGCTATTGGATAACGTCGTGCCAAAGTAGGTACGCGTCGAATCAAAATTTCACTTTCAAACGGTTTTTCTAGCCGTGAGAACATTTCATACGCGTTTGTACCAAGTCGTCCATAATTACGCGTATATTATACGTTCTATTATACGTTATATATAACCTATATGTTATAAATAAATTATTTACAAGAGCTATACATTGCGAGAGACAAGTTGTTATGTTATTATCGCGTTATCGCTACGTTGCAGCGACACGATCGAACGATCGGTTCTATACTTGTTTGAATATCGATAGTAGAATACGATAGTAAATCGTGATCGACCACGCGCCAAGTCGGTTTAAAACGCATGCGCGAGCGCCCGAGAGCAACCAGAGATATCCAGGGGTTACGTATTTTCGACGGCGAACGGCGAGTAGCGAGCGAGTTACGCGATGGTATCGACCAGTATCGGACGGTAGCGTCTTCGTAGATACGCACGCTCGAGCGGGACGCTCGCGTTCCAGATATAGTATCTAGCACTCTGCTAGTAGCGGTAGTAGCGATATTTGTAGCAGTAGCAGCAACACCAACGCTAGAAAGCGACAACTTTCGTTGTTCGATTGCATCGCGAGTACGCGATAACGCCTGCCTCTCGTATCGTGTTTGTTCGAACGAATGCTCTACGGGACTTTTGATCTACGCGCGTCGAAATACGTTCGCGAGTACGTGTACGTGTTGCGAGAGCAAACCCGAGAGCAGCGGCAACATTTGCGACAAGGTTTACGGCAACGGTTGTTACGGCCAGCTTCGAAAGGTGTTTCTTTCTAGAAAGAAAGAAAGAAAGAAAGAAAGAAAGAAAGAAAGAAAGAAAGAAAGAAAGAAAGAAAGAAAGAAAGAAGCCACGGTCCGACCGAAGAAAGGACCGAGCCGATTCGCGTCTTGCCGCGAGACGGTAACGAAGACTCGACGCGAGCAAACACTCGCGCAGCGTTGTAGCAGCAACGAAAATTCAGGCGAATTTACGGGCTTGTCGAGTTCGAAAGCGATTCGGGGAATCGTTGGCAGACGCGAATTCGCGATCGTCGAATGCGATCGATCGTGAACAAGGACGAACCCGGAAACGGAACGAACGTGTCCAGGAAACAATCTCGATGTCGAAGAAAGCAAGTACGGAGAACGTATCGTTGGAAGAGAAGTCTGCGACGAAAATTCAAGCCAGAGTGCGCGGTTTTCTAGTACGGAAGAGACAAGAAGCCGCCCGAGTGGCTGCGACTAAAATTCAAGCAGGTTTCCGTGGTTTTAAAACCAGAAAACTGTTGAAAGAAAACGAACGGTAACGCGACGCGTGTACACGGTTTACCCTGTCATTTTCGATACTCGAACTCGCCTCTTCTCAGCCTCGGTTCGTTCGAACGCGTGTATGGTTTTTACGCGTTCGCAGCCGACAGTTTTTTCCAAAGAGGTACGCGTTCGCTTCGATTTCGATTCGAATTCTAGTCCCGGTCAAAATTCCAGTGCTCCTCGGATACTCGGAATTGCTGAGAAATTCGGAGATATTCGAATCGCTTCTAGAATATTATCGCTCGACTAAACCGATTCGCGGAAATTTGGGAAACGAAGAAAAATTCGTCCGTACAAATGTACTATTTACCGGTCGCTGTTGTTATTATCATTGCTATTACACCATCGTTGTTATTGCTATTATCGGCATCGGTTTCGATCGGTTCTCGCGAGCGTAACGGTATTCGTTTCTTTCGTCGATTCGTTCGCGCGACTTTACGTATTAGAAATCGTTGCGAGATCGTTCTTTCCCTTTTCTCTTTCCGCACTGCTCCAACGAACGGATCCATAGTTATCGAGAAATAATCGAAATAGCCTCGGTGGTCACCAACGACGTTTGGCAACGACATCGACGCTGCTCTCTACCGCTGGCCGCTGGTGCAAAAATATTCGTACAACTAACCAGTTAATTTTTAACCATAGCGCGGTACAGTCGAGTCTCGATACGTTTCCTCGAAGAAGATACCTCTCTCTCTCTCTCTCTCTCTCTCTCTGTCTCTCTCCTGACATCGGATAAGAGTGCTTTTTTTCAACGTTTGCGTCTTCGATGCGAATCTTCGAGGTACATGTACCAATTTATACGATTATACGTTGTAAATGATACACACGTGACTCGAGAGAACGTTTCCGGATTGTTTTCGGATCGTTTCCTTCTGTTCGCGTTCGCGTAAAGTGTAACGCGACACGAAAAATATAAGAGAATCGTTTCGGTCGAGATAGAGCAAAATCCTTTTCTCCATTCGTTTATTAAGGAATCGCGATTACAATATGTGGGTCGATACGGGATACAACTATTTCCTCTTTCGAAGCGCCAAATGCGAAGAAATCGTTTGTAAAACATTTGATTTTGCCGAGACTAGAAAGTACACGTGTCGATAAACGCTCTTCAAAACGATCAAACGAATCCAGATATCCGGTAAAATTGTGAATTTTGTTACGTATATTTAATCAAATTGCTTCTCTATCGAAGTACAAAATATTACGATTTGTAGTTGGGCTGGTAAAAAATAAATGCATCTATCGAATAAATGAAATTCAACAATTTCAAATCTCTCTCTCTCTCTCTCTCTCTCTCTCACGCACGCGCGCACACGCATACACACAAAACGCACGCACATAGTCTTCCTTAATCTCCCATTAGCCTTCTTTTCTCCGACTTGCTTCCTTCTCGTTTCTCGCTACATATCTTCTTCGCTCTTTTTCGCTATCCGTTTATCTATCGATTAATCCGTCTATACGTATCGAACTTGCTCCTCCCACATTTGACAGAGATCTCGTAAAACTACGTAAGCGCACACCTTTCGGTATTTACTCCTTTCGAATTAGCCATGTTCAACACGTTGATACGGATTTCCTATTCGAATAAAAAATCTAATACAAATTATATTCGATCGGTCGAGCACAGGGCTGATCGACGATGCGCGGAGTGTTGGTTTGTCGCGACGAGCCACGGTCGTAGCGGTTACATGTGTATCGGTCGAGGCACGGTCGAACAACGAGACTGATTCGCGACGCAGCAGATGTACGCGTAGCAACGTAGATAGAGCACGTCGGTGCGATATTCGATGCGCCGCGGACCGTATCGCGTAGGTAGCTGTTCTACATATATCGTGAATTCGGTTGCCGGTAGAGCATGCTTCTCGTGGTTTCTGCATCGAGTTTCAAGTTTGAATTACGGTTCGAACATCAAAATATATATCTATAGCATCGACGCGTAAACGTATATATTTCTGTATATTTCCGTCTGTATTTATGTATTTCCATATATGTATTTCTGTAGACCGCTATAGATTTCTGTAAATTCGTGGACATTACTCTCTCTCTCTCTCCCTTTCTCTCTCTCTCTCTCTCTNTCCCACATTTGACAGAGATCTCGTAAAACTACGTAAGCGCACACCTTTCGGTATTTACTCCTTTCGAATTAGCCATGTTCAACACGTTGATACGGATTTCCTATTCGAATAAAAAATCTAATACAAATTATATTCGATCGGTCGAGCACAGGGCTGATCGACGATGCGCGGAGTGTTGGTTTGTCGCGACGAGCCACGGTCGTAGCGGTTACATGTGTATCGGTCGAGGCACGGTCGAACAACGAGACTGATTCGCGACGCAGCAGATGTACGCGTAGCAACGTAGATAGAGCACGTCGGTGCGATATTCGATGCGCCGCGGACCGTATCGCGTAGGTAGCTGTTCTACATATATCGTGAATTCGGTTGCCGGTAGAGCATGCTTCTCGTGGTTTCTGCATCGAGTTTCAAGTTTGAATTACGGTTCGAACATCAAAATATATATCTATAGCATCGACGCGTAAACGTATATATTTCTGTATATTTCCGTCTGTATTTATGTATTTCCATATATGTATTTCTGTAGACCGCTATAGATTTCTGTAAATTCGTGGACATTACTCTCTCTCTCTCTCCCTTTTTCTCTCTCTCTCTCTCTCTCTCTCTCTCTCCCCTCTCTCTCTCTCTCTCTCTCTCTCTCTCTGTAGATTACCGAAGATTTCCGTAGATATCCGCATTTCCGTTTCCGATAGCTCGAAACGGACGAAATCAAGAGTTGTTCGTTTACTCGGGTTTTATCGACCAGCGATTCTATGCGACTCGATCGAGTTATCGGTTGATTACAATTCGAACAAAGTAGTCGTTATCCGTCGAAAAATCGTTCGTTTCCTTGTTTTACATCGTAAAGTAAGTTTTTGTCGTGTAACGTTGTTTCGTATGGGAATAGAAAAATAAAACTTATGGGAATAGAATGTGTCGTTGGTGATGCTTGTGTGGAATTTTACAGTTGTCGTCTGGATTTTCTTCTTTACATTTCAGTCCTTTCTCGCTGCAACCGTGGCATTTATTACAATAACAATACATACCCTCGCCGCAAATGCCCCATTCGTCGTTCGGTCCTCCGCACACGTCGTCGGGACCCTGCAATAACAAATATAATTCGCAACGTGAACGGGATAAATCGATGAAACGAATCGGGTAGTGTTTCGATTCGATTCGATTCGATTCGATTCGATGGCTAACCTGTGCACATACTAGACCGCAAGAAGGCAACGTCGTTACACCAAACTCACATTTGTTGCATGAATCGTCGCAAGTTTCGCAATAGTTAGGTTTCCTTAATTTGATCGGTGGATGCCCGAAGCATTTGTCAAACCTGCTTAATAATAATAATGCAAGCACTGTCAATGGTTTATTCGATGTATTTAATTTCATTCGATTCCGATTCCGATTTTACTTATATAAACGTTTATTTATATAATTTTACGTATAAAAAGGTATAAAAATCGAGAGGTAGCCGACAATTTCAAATTGAAGAATCCTTACACGAGCGCAACAAGTATCAGCGCAGCTATAGACATCGTCTGAATGGCTGTCATTTCGCTCCCTGAATCTGCAACAAAATTTCGATAGAAACTTGAAAAGTATCGATGCGGTTTAACGTAAAAGAAAAACAGCGTCGATCATTGTGTGGTACGAGGCGGATTTTCGTACAACATTTTCCACTCGTTCTCAATTTATCCGTATTATCGGTTGGTTTACGCATGGACGCGTGTACGTACGTGTCGTACATGCGCGTATTCGTAGTATTTGCGCAATCGTGGAAAAACTGATGATGTCGACGTCGAGGGCTCGAGATACACGGTCCCTACGCTACCGCAACGATCCTTCGTGAACGGCAGAGTCCCGTACCATTTCGTTTTAGAGAAAATTAAGCAACGAATACTCGCGATCTCTACCGGTTCGCAGCCGCGCATCGTTCATTTCTTTTCGATTCGATTCGATTCGATTCGATGTTCGCGGTACTGGTACTGGTACACGGTGGTATATCGCGTTCGAAAATGGAGAACGCCTCGATTTTGGTACTCGACGCGTTCGTTTTGACACGCGTAAACGGTATAGAATATGTTTGCACGATTTGAAACGCACGCGAGGCGATACGCAGAAGTTGGGATTGAAACCGCGAGACAGATAGTACTTGTGCCTCGAGGAATTCGATAATTCCGAGTACAAAGACTACTGCCGAGCAATTTATCGATTGCTATGCAGAAGAAGCAAGGAAACAATTTTCTTCTTGCTCTTCGACCCTTCGTCGTCGTTTCATGATTCAACTGTCCCTTATTTCGTTTTACCGTTTTACTCTAGTCTCATTGTCGCGCGGATCGTTCTACAGAAAGCGTGTAGATTTCACGTGCTGCGGCTACACTCGCGTACCGAACAATTACTGTGCGCGTGGATCGGACGTGTGATACGCGATGCGCGATGCGCGATGCGTGATGCGTGATGCGTGATGCGTGATTCGCGATGCGTGATTCGCGATGCGAGATTCGTAACGCGCGATGCCTAATAAGTAATATATGCGTGCGGTTAATACGCGGGGAGCATCGACACTTTGCCGTCCGGTGGCACCGCGCCGGTGTCGTCTACGCTCTTACGAGGCGACGAGATTTCGCGTTGCGTTTACAGCTAACGGGTAAATTTGCAAATGCCGGCAGCGGACCAAAATATATTTCGATCGCGGCGCGTGAGCGACGAGCGTCGATGCCGATGCGCCGATGTGCTGCGAGCTGCGAGCCGTGAGCCGTGGAGCGAATGCGAATACGGGTGCGTCGCACAACATTTTGGCAGTCTTGGCAGTCGTGGCAGTCCTGGCTTCTGTCTCTCGCGTAATCGTCCGATCGTTCGTATTGGCAATTGCATTTTTTTTCTTTTCTTTTTCTTCTTTTTCTTCTTCTTTTCTTTTTCTTTTTCAAGTCGCGTTCATTACATTCGAGTAATAATACGTAATCGTAAGAGCGAGTTTCTTTCCATTTTACCCGAGACAACATTTTCCTAGAAAATTACGCAAGTCGACGTTCGTTAAATTACCAAAGAAAAATGACATCGACTCGAATATTTCAAGTTGTGAAAATTACTGAAAAATCCAAAATACTCAGACTCTGAAATGTCTCGAGTTTGCGCAATGGAAAAGGGAAATGCAAAGGTTAGATTAGTCGATTGGTTCTTCGGTCGGAGCAGGATAGCCACAGCCACGGCCGCGGCTACGATCGCGCTCGTGCTAGCTTCTTCTGGTTTCCTCGTATGTACTAAGAATAGCGAAAGAATTTGCGTTGCTTCCGATCGATGCCAGCTTCTCTTTCCGCGTATCCGCCCCCCCCCCCGCCTTCTTCTCTTATCCGTTCGCTGTGTACAATATTTCGATAAGAGATACGTTGTTTACACGTATATCCCTAGATGTTTAGAACATCTCCGTTTCCTCTGCATTCATCTTTCTCCACACTGATTTCTTTCCGCCGCTTATCATTCTTTACCAACTAATTTTTCTAATAGTGTACGACGTTATACGTTATACTCTATAAACGACGCGCGTTTCATTACAACGAAAAAAACCATCTAATTACCACCTAGAAACTACGTCCGGAAGGGTCTATGTTCCGTGCTTAAATATCGAGGACAACGAGTTCGTGTGTGTACTACCCTCTAAAAACATCTCTTTGCGCGTCTTCTTATTCCTCGCGCTTCCCATTTTCCTTTTCATCCTCACTTTTCTCCTACCCCTCTCTCTCGGCCTACTATAGCTTCTCGTGTCTCACCTCTTTATCGTTCGAATCTCGATCGGTAAATTCGACAAGCTTGTTTCATCGATGCATGATCAAGATATGAGAATAACGAGAGATATAAGGTGATGTAACGAGACAAAGCTGACTCGGCGTTGGTATCGATCAAAAAACAAACAAACGCGTAACGAATAAACATTTCGATATGGTATACGATACAGCCATATACCACCCTATTGTGCTCACCCTAAACAAATTCCAAGTAACGTAGAGTTTTAATGGAACAAGCAATAGCAAATTTGTCCGTTAAATAAACACGTGAATACCGGAACGTGAATGACTAAAATCGCGGAGAGACGTTGAATGTGCCATTGAGGCGAAGCGCGCTTTGTTTTATAGGGAAGCGATCAAAAGATAGGAGGGCAAGAGGGGGTAGGAACAGCGAGCATGTGAGAGAAAGGGGTAGGAAGAGAGATAGATGAGTGAAAGAGTGAGAGAGAGAGAAAGAGAGAGAGGGAGGGAGGGAGGAGGAGGAGGAGGAAGCATAAATTGACCAAGGAACAGACAATGTTAAATTTTTGCTTCGTCCAACTAAACGATGTCGTAAACATTCTTTTGAACATGTCTTGTCCAATTTCAGTGAATTTTCTTGACGGTCGTCTATTAATATGTAAATCTTCTCGGTTGAGTGTGACGAAAAACAAAGAGGTCCATTCATTGACTATTAATAGCCTCCCTAAATAACCTTGTCAACATTATTCGCGTAACAATGTACTTAGTGAACCGTAGGGTCGTAGAAACGAACACAAAAGGATGATGTTACTAAACATCGTTTACATTTCAGGAAGAAAAGAATCCAAGAAAGAAAAAGAAATAAAAGAAGGAAGAAACGAAGGGAAGAAAGAACGTATCGTCGTCGTTTGCGCACGAAAAATCAATGTATTTCAGATCGCGGCACAGAGAAATTGATTAAACTACGTACACTTGCTTGCTGATCTTTTATGTAAACGATACGCAGCAACGTACGCGTGTATAGCTGTGCATGTAGGTAAAATATACAACGATGTGGCAGCATATCGGCAAACTCTTAAGAATCCTTTACGAACGAATCGATCGAGCAGAAACCGTTTTTCTACGAATGAAGAATATTTCGGTGATGACCAATCAAATTCTATTCCTGAAAATGGCCGATTTATTGTTGCTAACCAAACCCGAAATGACGTGTCTCTACACGTTGATGTTTTATAACGTGATCACTTACTGTGTCAGCTACATTAAGGAATTGATCGAGAAAGAAGATTGGTCGCCGTATATTACTCTTACCGAGAGATCAAAGATTAAACATTTAGCTATGTCTGCTACGAAAATAGTATTAGAATGGACCAAAGCTGTTACATTCGTCGTAACATTAACGTTCGTGCTCCTCGTGTTTGGTCTGGAACAGGGTCTTCGTAATTACAGGTAAGTATGTAATATGTCTGTGTGTGTAAAGCGTATAGTATGCATACATGCGTACATACGTATACAGATTGCTTCGGCTAACTTGGTTATATTCGCTCGCGTTAACTTTATGAATATATTTCGAGGCACGGAATTTAAATCGCGCGAAGGGCCACACGAGATTTCAAGAGATCTCACCCTCTGACCTTTTTAAACGGTACGACCGATTTTCTGTTTTACGTTTTTGATCGTTTCACCGTTTACAGCGTCGAATTCCGAATAAAAATCTATGTACGCGACACCTCCGCGTACGTTCTAATAAATAGTCAACGAGATACAAAACGATTCGAAATTTCCATTCTAGCTATTTCCTTATTAATGTCTCGACATTTTCATAATAACCCTTCGATATAACCCTGTGTCGGTATAGATTATACGATCGTATACATAGATACATGTACGTTTCTACGTATGTACATATATATGTATACATATACATATATATACACACACTATTCGAACGATTGTAACGAGGTAAGGAGAAATCCGGAAAAGGACTGTTCTTCTTGCAGGCCGTCGACGTTTTACACCGTGATTACGTGGATTTATTATTCAGCGACAGAAAAAGTCTTCGCCGATATGTTTCCGTCGATTTTCAAATTCTTTCGTGTCGAAGTTTTCGAGAACATGGAAGAACTTTACGCCCCGGTAATATTAAGGTCGTTTGCCATCGTCGCCTCTCTATTCCATATATTATTCCTTCTGCCGACGACGATATCCTGGAGATTTCTGATAGTTGCGAGCTACGCGAATATTTATCTACGATCGAAGGAGCTCTTGCAAACGTTTGCACCTCTGCTACAACGTGAACAGCAATTTCTAAATTACTATAGAAAAGCGACACCCGACGAAATTCTTCGTTTCGACGATGTATGCGCAGTGTGTCTCTGTAATATGATCAAAGCGAGGATAACACCTTGTAATCATCTCTTTCACATCGGCTGTTTACGTCGATGTCTCAAGATCAGCGATACCTGTCCTCTGTGCAAAAGAAAACTAAAACTCGAATACACATCGATGATCGGTCATCCTCCTATCGGAGATTGACTAAACGCGATCAAGGATCGCGCGACTTATCCACATTATATTTTCTCCTCGTATTCTTCGTGATACATTTCTATTTCAAAATCGCTCTTTCTATATTATCGTTGGAGAAATTTATTCTTCGATGATTATATATATATATATATATATATTCTGTATGAAAAGTAAACAAACAAACCAGACACAGACTAATTACGGGTTTTTCATGTAGCCAGGTTTTCTCTGTAATAAGTACACGCATAAAACACATGTTTCTTTTTGCATTTCACAATATTCTTTATTCGTAATACCGATGTCACTCTTCATTTATCACCGATTCGATTCGATTCGGGTTCTCCCTCATATTTCATAGTAGTATCCGCATATACACCATCCGGACTCTCATAATTTCGTATCGATGGAGTATTCACCGGTCCGCATGCTCTGTACGGTAGAAACGATTCGTCGAACTGAAAACAAAGTAGAATCATTTTATAGCAATTTCTAACAAGGATCAAATTCAGTTTCTCTCGACGATTCGATACTATAATACTTAAGCGACGTTTACTTCTATCGCTTTCTCGTAAAGATACTCGGACACGATTCTCAATTCTATCAAAGCTCTTTCCTGAGAAACCATCATAGATTGTATAGCGTACGTATCCTTCAACCACTGATCTTGTTTGTATCTTGTCCATTCCTTTTCCAATAACGATCTTTTCTCCAATTCTTCGGGAGATAACGTCGTCGGTGTACGGTACCGTTCCCTGTAACAAACATGTAACGACACAAAATTACGCGAGCAACAGATAGTAGCAATATTTGTAACAGATACCTTACTCTTTTTGCTTGGCTAACTCGATCGATGATTCGACCTCAAAAATTGGTTTCAGTTGTTTGGCGTGTTTTTCCAAACGTCTAATTTGCTTTTCCAGCTTTCTTTTCTTCCTCTCTTCTCTGGCTCTAATGATAGCAGGATCCAGTTTCCTTTTCTTCTTTATCGGTAAACCCCTGCCAAAGAAATTCATGCAAAGAAATTGACGAGCAACGCTTTACGGACCAATTTTCTGAATAGAAACCATTCGAGCACTTACGATAGTACATCGGTCACTTGAAAATATAGTGGATACGTGCACGTAGAAATATTACGTGGATCAACGATCGACAACGAACGCATAGATAGTCTGCAACAATGAATCATTGTAATTTCGATAGTCAAAATATCAGATAACTAATTGAAAGCATTATTTGTTAATTATTCATTATTAAGTATTACCTAGAAAAAGCATTTACCACAGGTAGGACACTTATCATTTCAATGAAATTCTTTCGATTACTCGTAATATCAATGACGGGGACACCTTAACCAGATGTCCTTCTATTATGTATGTATAACTTACGTTTACAATCTATTCATAACCTGTATGTTTTCCACTGTTAATCGTAAACATGAAGGCTTATGTTCGATACACTTCAAAATTAATTACGAGCGATGAACTTAACGGAACGTTTTACACAAACATATTAACGAATATATCGGATACTAGATTGTAAATTTTGTTAACAGTGTACACGATATTCCGTGGCACGATACTATTCCGGCATGTATATACGTATGCATTTTTCTATACATGTATGTACGTACATTTGTACGTGCGCATATGCATTACGTAAGAATAATCGCGAAATTTTCTTAAAACTATAAACTGTTAAAATGTTATTTTCATATTGTGTAAACCGCGCAACAATTAATAAATAAACTTGTATTAGATTTTCTGACTTTTTGTGATCTTCTCAATTTATTTGTTCGAATTTTATGTCCGCGATAGAACATGCAAACCTCTCTCTCTCTCTCTCTCTCTCTCTCTCTCTCTCTCTCCCTCTCTCTCTCTCTCTCTCTCCCCCTCTCTCTCTCTCTCTCTCTCTCTCCCTCTCTCTCTCTCTCTCTCTCTCTCTCTCTGGCCGTGAC